GTGTTCTGAAAGTCTATCTGAATTCTTGTTCAGATTAGTTATATGGTGGAAAGGTCCTATAGGCTTGTGCAGCCCTTGACCTTTTTAAAATTTTACTGTGAGTAATCAGGGCTTTTGAATTGTTTTCCCGGTTCGTACATTGTGCACATATGCATAGGTATATGATTAAGCAGAAATGAAAGAAAAATACTGTTTTGGCACATTAGTAATCGTTAGATAATATTTGCATTTTTGGGGGACAATCTGGAGTAGGGTGTCAGACTGTGTTTTCATTTTAGCATGTACCTGTGAAATCTATATCACTTTTTCTTGCTAGGGCTTGTGGGGCAGATGTGCCAAGTCTGGAATGTGTATGATGCAGGCTTGTTTTATGGCCTTCGGGATTCAGTGAGACAAGCCTGGCAGTCCCACTGGACATGCCGCTCCTTTGTTGTGCCCGTCCCTAGGACACGGAAAGCTCTCTTGCTTGAAGTCAGCTCCATGTGCTTGGCACCATGTGCGATCATGCTATAACCACCCAATTTCACCAGCTGGGGGTTGTTTTGTTCTTACTGTCTTGGAACAAGGCAGTCAAGGACCAAACTGGCTTCCAACATGTCTGATCAGAGTAAAAGGAGGCTTGAATTTTGTGGCCTAGTCTGTAACTGCCCCTGCTTAGGATGTCGCTGTGATGTTAAATGGTCATTCTGCTGTAGGGAATCCTGAAAATGTCAAACCCCAGTCCACTGATGGTGTTTGTGCTTGGTGGATTTTGACCACTTGGTGGGTTGGTGGCTTCTCCTTGGGGCTGGTCTTTCTCCAGCTGGGGCTGGACCAGGCTTTGAAAGGGAAACTGCAGGGGCAGATCTGGCCTGCTCGGTACTCTGCGTTAAACGTCAGAGGGAACCCTGAAGACCACTGTCATCTGTAAATATGAAGTTTATTTAGCGTAACTGGACAGTGCCTCTCTAAACAGAAATTAACAGCGATTTGCCTGTTTGTGGTCACGTCCTGGCTTTTGCTGGTCTAGAGTTAATTTTCTTCACAGCAGCCTGTGTGGTGCTATGGTGACAGTTGTCACCCTGCACTTCAGATGCATTTGAAAGCGGCCCATTGTAAATACTCCTATTACATTCTCTGTTAGTATAACACTGGCTGTTGTTAAATTGATCCAGCAAGGGCTCTCACTTGTGCTTTTAAACTGTTTTTACTATTATTGGAAGGATATAAAGAATTTCTGCTTACCTTTCAGATTACAGAAAGGTTCTAGTGTAATGGCCGTTGTTCATACAATGCTTGTAAATCATACACTGTTTGCATTTTTTTTTTAATCTTCCTTCTCCTTTTACACAAACGGCCTTTCTTTGGCGCTGAAACCCATTTTTTGTTTGTTTTCTAAATACTGGATAGAGAGTAAGTTGTTCATTGTGAGCGCGGATCTCTCGCTCGCAGCTGCATTCCAAGGACTTAGCGCAGAGGCAGCCATTGGCGGGGGCCAGTGAGATTTCGCGCTGGCTGGCAGCGCGACAGCAGGCAGTTGCGTATATCTGCCGACCTCTGAATGTGCCCTGGCAGGAAGTGAAAAGGCTCTGGGTAGTCAGCTGTGCAAGATCTGGGTGCATGCAGGCACACTCAAGATGGATGCCAAAATGGGTTAGTCCCTTTTTCTTGGTTTCTTTGATAGATGTGAATTAAACTCGCTTGTAGATTTTGAGGCTTTTAATTTCTCTTGGTTAAAAAAAAAAAAAAAAAAAAGAGGGTTACTTTGTTCAGGTTTTTTTTTAAAAGAGGAATATCAGGTTAAATATATTAAACCACTTGTTTTTGTCATCAAAAAACGATATGAATTGTTCAGTTTTAAGTTAGATGTTAGACAAAAAAAAATTCAGGGATAAACTTATCACGGCACTTGCTTTAAAAGCAAAATGTAATTGGATGAGTTCTGCATGTAAGGCACGGATGCTAGCAGTACTATTTTTAGATGTGCCAAGTGACAGTTCATGCTTACCAAATGTAGGCAGCTGTTCTTGCTTTAGAATAGGCCCAAAATACTTGCATTAAATGCATGATATTATAGTTCATATTGAATAAAATAAAGCTTAAAATGGTTTCCGTGAGGAAAGAATACTGCTTGGCAGGGCTGTTCCTGAGAATTGTTGGAGTTTTTGTTTTTCTGTGGTTTTTTTTAATCTGCTGTGGACATCTTGTGTGTAAGTTAAAGACAGAAAGCTGCTTCTAGTAATGATTTTTCTTCTACCATAGAAAGAAATGCAAAGATGTGTTTCTCATTAATGGAAAAATGTAAAACAATTTCATCATGTAGTCTCTTGGACAGAAAATTAGAAATCAGTTTTTCAGTGACTTACAACACTGGGTTTCCCTTTGAGGAATTTACAATGAAACCAGATCCGTATGTCGTTAAGCTGAGGCTGATTTGGTAGTTCTCCAAGTGGAGTGGAGACAGAGCAAGGAAAAATGCTTCATGTGCAGCTTCACTCTGCTCTGGGAGGTCCTGGCTTGGGGATTGTTCTTATTGATTACTGAGAACAAAAGACTGAAGATGGGTCGCTAGAGGCCATTTGGCATTTGTGCTATGCTTAGATTCCAGCAATTTACCTTTGTTTCTCCTATTTTGGAAGCTGTTATACAGATGAATTACTGTCTTTACGTTTGTTATAGCTGGGTTCAGGTATATTGCAGTTGCTGCTTATAATAAATTATTTCCTATGAAGCAGTGAGAACCCGCCATCAGTGGAGACACTTTAAAACTGTGTTGCAGCAGAGGGAGTATCTCATTTACAGAACTGAAGCTATCTGCAGTGGGAAAGCAGGCTCATACTTAATGTGTCACATGATATGGGAGCAGCACCCAAATTTGAATGTATGGATGCTGAAATTGCAGCATTTAAAAATATAGTTTCAGTATTTGAAGCAAATACCCAGAAATAAAAGCATTTTTTCAAAGCTTTCTTGAATTATTTTGGAGCACAAAATCCGCCAACTTGTTTTGTCAAGAATGGTTTTGAAAATCTCACCCAGGTGTTACGGATAATCGCAGCTCAGTTTAGGTTTTCAGTTTACAGCGATTTTTGGGTCAAGCTCATAATTTTGTTAGACAGCTTCTTCTGCATGCTGAACTTGCTTAACATAAGGTGTACAGAGACACTAATGGACACTTCTGTGATTAGAAGCAAAGCCAAAGAAACCAAAGAAAATAATGTTAAATTTAGGGATTATAGCCTGTAAAAAAGGAATTCTACAGTGACCTGATTTTTTTTTACTGTTTCATTTGTACTCATTTTAAAGCAAAGCTGTCTTGCTTAGAGCTTCATTTGTTTGACAGGGAAAAGAGAAGTGCAGCTTTGTAACATGAAGAGACCCAGCAGAATAACAAATCAACAGGGTGCAGGGATAGGTTGGGCTGCAATTTGACGAGGACGTTAGATGGGGGCTGTTCTGAGAGCAGGAGTGTCACCTCCTTCAGCTGCCTGCTCTATCTCTCACCCCATATGTTTGTGGAGTCACATGGTGAACCACAACCAGAATCTGATCTGGCTGGCTGCTTAGTATTTATTTTATTTTTTTTGTGCAGTAGTTGTCAGCAGCATACAGAAAACCAGGCCAGTTCTGCAGGTGGCCATGCAGAGGAAAGGAGTGGAACTAACTGAGTGGCGGTGGAAGGACTTCAGCATCTGAAACAGTGTGAAATTGCACCATAGCCCTGTGGCATTTTCATGTTGTACCTGCAAAGGGATTATGCAGACTTTACCCTAGAGAGGCTACCAAGTATTTAATGCTGGTGCATTACCACATTTTCATCCTATAAGAAATAATAGCCAAATTTTGTTTTTTTAATTTTTGTTTACAGTCATTCAGAGTAAGAATCTGTTCTGGATTGTGATCGGCTATTCTACAATTAACTTTGGTGATGTTCAGGATGAGATAGGATGACTAAACTTGGGGTGTAATAGTAATTTTTCTATAATTTATCTTGAGTTCTGCATCTGATACATGATTGCTATTAACAAGCAGTTTTGATGCAGAAGAGGAGTTTGTTCTTGTGAAAATCTAACCAGCTGTAGAAGCAGAAATAGGAAGAGCGAGTTCTGTTGTGTGTCTCGCCATGAAGTATAAAACTAGATGCCCCTGCCCAGTTTTCTACTGGGCAATGGAGAATGACGTTTGCCAGATGTCCTGAGTTCAGTAAGGGAATCAACCGGATGCAACAGCACCTCAAAACAAACAAATCTGTGATGGATGCATTAAGCCGTTAGCTGTGACTTGTGTAAGGGTGTAGTTTACTCTAAACAGCGATGCTAAAAATGGCACAATATTGTGTTCTCTCATGAGGGTAGCTTAAGGAAAAATAAATTTGGTTTACAAATGAAGTATTTTGCATTGGAGCACAGCATATTTAGCCTGGATTGAAATTTCTGTGAGATTATTTCCTCTTTACGGCTCAGTCTGTCACCTGTAATCAATATTATGAACTCCCATGGGAATGTCTTCAGTCAAAAGGAAACAAAATGAACTGTTAAGGAGTCTTGAGCTGTGCCTTTGCCTCTACCAGACCTGCAAAGATATGGTGGTTTAGAGATCTGTTAGTGTCTTGTCATTTGTCCTAGCAGGGAATCGGGATCAATCTCTTCAGTGAGTGACCTCCACAAAATGCACAAAAATAAAATGAGATGAAGCACAAACTGCTGTGATTCTGGTGCAGAACACAGCACAGTAGATGAAGAGATTAACTCTGACACTGCTTAAGGGCAGAATTGTTCTTAAATTTTAGCAATTACATTTGAGGTAATCTTAGTAACAATAATCCAAATAATCTGAAGCCCCAACGCAGAATCAGTACTAAAATAACTTGTTTCTGGTTGTAATTTCAGCTGTGGTGTGACGGTGAGATTGTGAGTTCCATTTCTTGATGACTCTCAGCAGTCAAGTGAATCATGTTTTACTGTTTCCATATGGATGCAAAAGATATCTTGTTCTAATTTCTTATATTTTTTAAATTTTAGTTGTTGACCTCCTTTACTGGCGAGACATTAAGAAGACGGGAGTGGTGTTTGGTGCCAGCTTGTTCCTGCTGCTTTCATTAACAGTGTTCAGCATCGTGAGCGTGACAGCTTACATTGCCTTGGCCCTGCTTTCTGTGACCATCAGCTTTAGGATATACAAGGGAGTTATCCAGGCAATCCAGAAGTCCGATGAAGGCCACCCGTTTAGGTGAGATTTTTCTTTTAATTAAGGAAAAGTGTGTTGTTTTGCAGAACAGCAGTATTGGTGCTGTTAGGAGCAGCAGATGACATATGCTGTAATATGTTGCATAATAATGTACTGAAAAATCTGTTACCCAGCTTGTGTCGACTCTTCCAGTTTTTCTCAGTAGGCATACACGGCAGTGAAGAAAATGAACTGAACACTTGGTACAGGCGATTTCCCTGGGAATTGTGGAGTATCTTAAGTTACATTTTAAAAAAATTAAATACTTCAGTCTAATGGAGTAATATGTGCATTTTAGAATGGTATAGTCTTCAGAATGTGAACCAGTGGCAGATGATGTACAAAACTGAAAGAACACCCAGGAGATGCTGCACTGTCAATGCAGTATATTTAACAAAAATCAGAATAAATGTAGCTTAGATACTTTTCTCTTTTTGGAACTTTTTTTTTAAAGAATACCCTTGAAATTTGTGTTTCAGTATGTAGCAGCGTAGCTGTGTTCTTCACAGGCATGGCTGCCTTGTCATCAGCAGAATCCAGGTTCATTGCAGCCTGCCCAGATGAGGAATCCAGAAACTTGGACTCTTAAGGCTTGAGGAGTTTAATCATAGGATTAATTTAGGTCCTCAAAGAGGACCTCCAAGCTCTTTGCTTTGAATGATGAGCCAAGTCCTTGGGGCGTGCCATGTGTGCACTTCCCTGCAGTGTGACAACACGGTATCTGTGGTGTTCATCTGTTCCTGTGTGGAGTACGGTGGTGCCCATTATTGCAAAGTGGCATCTTAAGAGAAATAAAAGCTCATTAAAGTGTTAGAGTAATTACTAAGAGTGCATGTTTCCTGTTTCCATAGCAGCCCTGTCCCACACTGCTCAGAGTTGCTTCTCTTTTATTAATCAGTGAAGTGGTTCAGTCTCAGAAACTCCTGCTTGCCCTCTTATTTACAGCTCTCTTACTGATTTTGTGGTGTTTCTAGTTATTCTCTTCCTCTCATCTTCAGTAAGGCAAAGTAAAATGTTTTCTTGGGTTCACCTCCATTCCTCCCTGGCTATGTGTAGTGGCTCATTTACCCAGTGGAATCCCATCTGTGCCTAAAACAGCTGTGGGACAGAACTCTGGAAAAAAACGGAATATTTGCTTTCAAGCTTAGATCTGATATAAAAAAATACGTCTGAACAATAGGCACCAACATGCAGTATAGCAGTGTGAAGTATATATCTTTTGTAAACTTGTGGGGGTCTTTTTTACCCATCAAGGCCTTGGGTGGCCCTCCTTCTTCACTCTCCTTAGGGTGGATAATCCCCAGCTGCAATCCTGTTTGCTCTATCTACCCAGTAGTGCTCTTCAGTATCCAAACAGCATTTCCAAGTTTACCTGTTAAGTTCTTTCTTGGCAAGAACAAGAAAAACTTATTTTACCTGTGCTCTTTCAGAAGTTTTATTTCTAAAGATACTGATACTCATAGGAAGCTTCCAGACATTCTTGTCCAACATACCTGGTTGCTTACTTTTTATCTGCATGCCCTCGACTACAAGAGGGATATTTTTACTTGAATTTAGTTTGACAGTGAAGAGCACATCCATGAGATCAATTTAAATTTTGATGCAGGTACTGAATATCTTGCTGATGAGTTGAGAAGGGTGTGCAGATTCAAACCAAGTGTGGACAGCAGAATGTAGCCTTGAAGTGGCCGCCCTCTGGAGTTACTGTTTAAAGTATTTTAATTTGTTTTGGACTTGCCACAAGGCCATGTTCAGCTTTGCCTTAACTGACATACATAGGAGCCTCCACGGTGTGGTTTTTTTGGGGTTTTTTTTTTTGTTTAAAAAAAAAAAACCAAACAAAACCACCCCAAAACAGAATTCCCCCCCTAAATGAAAGTCAAACTGTAGCAACTGTAAAATGAGTGCCCTGTTACAGATGTGCTGCATTACTCCTTCCTCCAACATCCAAATTAGATAGTATTTTTCTCTATTTAAAGACTCTAAATTGCCATAGTCACAGCAACTATAGACAAAAGTCACAGTGCAGTGGAAAGAACATTTAACCAGGTAGGAGCTTACTGCTGTCACTAACTGTAAGAAATTTTTTTAATATGATAAATAATTTGCTCGTTTAATGTACCTTGGTGTGTTTGTTACAGCTTAGTGGTAACTTGAGAAGTGCCTCCAGCGGTATGAATGGATATGTTGCTTTTTGGTTTTTTTTTTCTTTTTGAGAAATGTAGGAATCTCATAGAATATTAGGCTACCTGATAACAGTAGCAAAAAGAGAATGACAACCCCCTCCTCCCACCCCAGCCTGTCTGTCTTATTTTTTTAAATACATGTTGGCCTTACTAGATTACAGCATACGCTGAGGAGTAGGAAGAGACTTCGTAGGCCAAGCAGCATGCGTGTCAGTGGTGCTGGACGCTGTTTTGGCCGCTCGCTAGCTTTCCCTTGTTGCACATACACATTAGCCAGCACACCTTTTTTGCCTAGTCCGGGTCAGGCTGTCTGTGTGTGACTTAGTAAATGCACTAAGCACAACACAGCAGTAAGAAACAAGCACTTTTTTCTTTTCTTCCAAGAGGTTGTGGGGGTGCTTTTGAGGTTCATTTGTACCTTCTAAGAATAACGTAGGTTAGTTCTCTTCTGTCCTTTTAGCGTTCCTCATATGGTGAGCTTTTTTTCTGTTTGTAACAATAAAAAGAATGTATGTTGGTGTTGCATATATAACATATAATGTGTTGATACTGTTTGCCAGCACTCTTTCAGTAAAGTTTCATAAGCTCTTCTTTCTTGCAGGGCTTACTTGGAGTCTGATGTAGCTGTGTCTGAAGAGCTTATTCAGAAATACAGTAATGTTGTGCTTGGTCACATTAATGGCACAGTCAAAGAGCTGAGACGTCTCTTCCTAGTCGATGACTTAGTTGATTCTCTGAAGGTGAGTTTACTTCAGCTGTAGATTGTGTGGCTTGCTGTAAACAAGATTCCTCGCTGACCTGGGTTAGCAAAGCCCACTAGTCCTTATAAACGTGAATGAACAATAGCATCTTTGGCTCCTTGTAAATAAATAATGAGTTTTAGTTTGCTTGTTGAAAGTAAAAACCCTTTTTGTAATAGAGTGGACAACTTTATCTGTCCTTTATTTTGTCAGTAGAGTAGAAATGAATGGAAAACTGAAATTAATGGCATGCAGTTCACCTCTTACACCTGCTCACTGGTGCTTAACAGAGAAATCCTTTAAGAAAACAAGACACTGTTCCAGTATGGGCATTCTGAATGTGTCACTACCATAGATCTCTCCCTCTTGAAAAATCTCTCTTTTGCCCTAGACTGGGCACAGTCTGGTTTTGTTTCGGTTTTCTGTTTCTGTGCTGAGACAGCAAGTGATAGCTGTACCGTTACTTGCCTTAAGCAGTGGGAGTTCTTGTGTCTGCTTTTTTGCTGGAAGAGGGGGGGCCTGAGTGATGCCCTTGTTCTGCTAGGAAGGTGGGACAGTGGATGCCAGTTTCAGTCCCTGGATTTGGGTGTGAATAGCTGTTCCTTTTAGTGATGCAAATTACTGACATGGGTTTTGCAAGTTATGCTACCTAAAGTGTGTGGTACTGCTTAACAGGTATCTTAAGTACGTCCAAGTAGTATTTAATGGGGTCTATTGAAGCTGGCAGAGCAAAAATGACTAATAATATTTTTTTTTAAAGGCTCAAAACCCTTCAGTTTTGTTCTGTGAGAATTATGTTCTCTCCTTTCAAGCTAATCACCTTTCTTTGTTTCTCAAACAGTTGTTCCCTTAACCAAGTACAACGTGTTGTCCATTTCTTTTTCAGTTTGCTTAATCTTCTTGAAGTAAAGTTGCATTTATCCTCCAGAAAATACCATACTTAGTGCTTTGTAAAGTCCTTTGAGTTATTACGGGGTTGGGGGAAGGGGTTTCTAGTGAAACTTGGAGAAAAATAGGGAGGCTGTAAAAGTCTTTGTTGTATTTGTGGAATAGATAGCAGAAGCAGACCTCAGGATCTTACCCTGAGTTTCTAGGTCCAGTTTCTCATTATTCTCCGACTTAAGCACAGTGAAGAGTTTGTGCTGGAAATGTTGTGGCTGATGTTGTGCAAGTCTCCTGTAGTAAGAGTCCTTTCCCTCTGGAGAAAGGAAAGATTGTAAAGTTGTCAGGTTGTTACCTGGGCTCTGCTGCTGCTGGTAAATATTCATTTTCTCGGAAGAGGAGATGCAATATTAGCCCAGGGATTTGTGTAATAATCACCCTGCTCCTAAAGGGTTGTGCAGTAAAAATATTTTTATGAGGTAGCTGTGCGTTCTTATTTTCTGGTCATTTTTCTGGACACGATTGGTGCTGCTGCAATCACTTTGTGTCAGAGTGGCTTAACTGAGACCGCTATTGTCTGTGCCTTGCCAGCGTTTCCACACAGGGATTGCGTTTTGATGGCTAAATCCTCTCACCACTGCCCATGGGTCTGGTCCGTTTGGAGCTGTGGCTCACCTTCATGCTGAAGTGACCGAGTACTGAGCATTCATCTCTGCAGCCTGTCAAGGCCACGGCCTTGGCCAAAGAATTACTGTTACACGGCTAGAATTGCGTTTTGATAACTTAAACTTGGTGTGCGAGGGGGGGAAAGGAACATATTCTTTGTTTATTGTGTTTTTTAAGGGCACTGAGTTTCAATGTTCAAAGAAAAGTTTTTTTGCTTAAGTTGTGTTAGGATCTGGGTAAACAACATCACAGACAAACTTGTAGTCACAAGGTCACTTGTATTTCTTTAATAATTAAGCCCTTTGTGATATGTTCCTTCATCTGAGTTATAAGAATTTCCACACCATGTGTTTAGAGATCACAATCCCTTGCAGTATAGGAAAAGGAAGCGGTGAGCAGCCAACTGCTGTTTCAGTTAACACTGTTTTAAAAATCAGGCCTTTCAGAGGAACACTGTCAGAAGTAGAACTAATTCCAGCCAGAATGTCTTCGAGGCACTCCAGTCACTTTTAAAATACTGTGGTATATAGGAAAGACATGTTTATTCAGCTGGGCTAATTCATTTCCCCTCTCTCCTTCTGACATTTAAAACATTTTATGTAGGTTAATTAGTCTAATTTATGGTGGTTGGTAGCAACCCTTATATGAAACCAGTGAATGTCAGGACAGTTCACGAGCACAGGGCTACTGATTTTGAAGAGTTTGTGCTCGAGGAGAACATTGAGATGCTGGGGTCTTATGTAATATAACAACCGTGGTTTTAAAAAAATAAAATCTTGGCTCGTGTAGTTTAAATATCTTCACTATAGGAAACAGCATGTTTGTGTATAATTGAAGTTACGGAGCTTTAATGTAGAAAATGTCTGCAGGCCAGTTTATTGCGTGTAATAGTTCTGGCCGTAAAACATGTCTAGTTAAGATTTTTTTCTTTTTTATTAAACAAATGCTTCAGTCATGAAAGTCTTAAAATGGACTCTAAATATTTATGCAGCACAAGGAGAAGTTCTTCACAGCTCTTGCTCCAGAGGAGCCCTTGCCAGAGAGTCCCAGGAGAAACTGCACTTTGTCCTGATACACACAGATCTCCCCAGCTGTGTGTGGCAGCACGGTTGCGTTCAGTTTGTCATTGCTCAGCTGATGCTTTGAGAAACTGATCTCTGCTGTATTTGAATTATTTTATAGTAAGGAAATAGATCTATGGACGTTTCTGGATTTGCCATTAAGTAGCAGCATGCTTTGGGTCCTGGGGAGTCATTAGTCATTGGAATGAGGTGGGCAAAAACTTGGTTCAGTCCATCAGATACAGTGTGGGTTTTGCTGATTTACGTGTCCTGGTAGCAATCAGGCTGAGCTTGGGCCCTGTGCTTTCCTTCTGTCTTCTCCTGAGTGTATGGGATGAGTTCTCTTATCTTTGTAGGTCAGTCTTGGGTTGCCTTCTGCTTTTTTTGTTGTCTTAGAGGTCTAAGTGTTTAGATGTGTTTCAGGTAAGCCTTTTTGTATTAGTAAGGTTCTCTTGAGTTTGTCTGATTTCTAAGGAAAAAAAGAGACTGATACAAAATAGAGACCAATACGTAAATGTGGGATTGAGGTCAACTCCACTTAACCCTGGGGAGTATTGTTTTATCTGTCAGAAGTGTGTGAAGAGAGAAGGTGTTGTGGGAGGGGAGTTCTGAGGTTTTTGCTAAACTTCATTTGCTTTGGTAGCCCCAGCTTTCAAAACAGTTGTCCCTCACAGACACAACGGAGAGAGGAGGGTGGTCTCGCTGGGCTCAGTTCTGGGTTCCCTCTTCTGCCCCATGTGAATAAGCGAAGTGGATGAAAAACTGCACATGCAACACAGTTCATCCTTAGACCCTGTCTCTGCCCTGGACAGACTGCAGGAGAGGCAGAGCCTGTGTCAGTCAAATGTTAACTCCTAGATTTTGATCTTGGGCCATAAATTCAATGCTCACAAAATTGGATAGTTCTGAAAATTGTTGGACTTGGGATTGATTCATATCTGTTACCCCTCTGCTTACATAAACTCACGTTTTCTGGCTTGGTCATAGTCTTCAGAAATGTTACTGAATGTTCACCTGAGCAGGGTGGTGCTTAGCCTTGGTGATTGTGTTCATGCAGAGGAGATTTTAGAGAGCTGTCAAGATGCTTTGCTGCGTGTGCTTGAAGCCAACGTGTTTAGTTTCCTGAGTGCACAGCCTGCTGAAGGATCACAAACGGGGGCTTTTTGCTGCAGTTCAAGTTGTTGACTTTCCTCCCTTTGGTGGGGAGGGGGATGTGCTGCAGGTCCAGACTTGCTCTGCAAGGAAAGTATTTGCTCCATTAAAATGTCTTGTGCAAAGAGGCAGGCAGCCAGCTCTCGCCCTGGCATTGCCGGGAGCAGAACTGGGTTAAGGTTTGAATGACTCATGAGGGAGTTTAAAGAAATCTACTTTATTTTTCTTGCTAAACCTGCCAAAACCCTTCAGTGGGAATGCAGCTGATGGTAACATAGCAGCCTTGTCTGAGGGTTAGCTAGTGCTGCTGTGTCACATCTAGGAAGAACTGACAGATAAAGAACTGCATCATTTGCGATTAATCCTACTGAATTTTGAATGGGATCAGCTTTGAATGAAGCTCTTTAAGTAAAGTTCATTTCATTACAGGGGTCATGCGATTAAACTTGTATTGTTTGTCATGCCCTTATCTTATTGTTGGCTGTTGATTTTGTTTGGTTTGGATACCTTGCATCTTACGATAAGCTAAAAATGGGTGGTTGCGTACATAACTTAACTTGGCTGCAGGCTAGATCCTTGCCCACACCCGCAGTCCTTCAACATGCATTTTTTTCTTTCCAGTGCTTTGTACCCATCTTTTCCTCGCGTGTATCTCCTGCTTATTGGAGTGCTTCATCTCTGTCTGTTAACTGTGCCAGATCTTCTCTCCCTGATGCCAACAGCAGCCTCTGCACCATGTCTGTACAGCTGTCCGGTGTTTTGCAGTGTCTTGCACAGAAAATAACCAGATGTGCTAGCTGGTTAAAGGGCTGGGGGTCTCGCCTGCATGCTCTGCACAATGCAAAGCGGAATTCAGCACTTAGCTAGAAATAAGCACTGGTAAATCCACTGTGTCTGACGTCCAGGTCCTGGCTTCTGCTCAGTTACGGACTGTGCAACACTAGAAGAAACCGGCTGATTTTCCTTGGGGAGGAATCCTACACAGAAATAGAGCTGGCAGCTGCTGGCCCCCTCCCTCCCCAGTATAGGTCAGAGGTGTGCTTGGGACACTCGTCACCTGGCAGAAAGCTGTGGGGCTTGGGCTGCGGCAGACCTTTGTGTAAAGCTGGTGAAGTGGAGACTGTCCGCGATGGGAGCTGTACTACTGCAGTCAGCACTTGGTGGGGCAGGAGCGGTGTCCGGGTACGAGTTAGAGGCTGGGATACGAAGCCAGAAATTATGGCAGTATGAGGGTTCAGGTGTCTGTTAACAGAAAGACATCTTTGCTTCTGAATTTGTCTCCGATTTAGAGCCAGCTTCCATTTTATTGCACTGTTGAGTTCTCTCTTTCCTGAATTTCTTAGTATCCAAAGCTCCTGTGTTTTTTTTAAGGGAAAAAAGACAAGCCAACCATGCCACGTTACCTTCCAGACTGGGTCGTGGCGACCTTTGCAGAGCCGAAGTGTGGTTGTGATAGTTTGGTGCCACCATTTGTGCTGCAGCCCCAGCGTGGATGCGCTCATAGGTTGGCTGCTGGGCTGTCGTGACAACAAATGACCTGCTTGCTTTCTTTCTGGCTCTGTCACCCAGTGCCATGCCATGCACCAGCCATTTAAGCTCTCAGTTGCCTGTCTTCTTCTGTCTCTCTGAAGGGTGGGAGGTAGAAACTGTGTTTGCCCAACATTCTGAAACCAGGGATTGGAAGTGCTGTACAAATTGAGCAGCCACCAAGTATGAACAGCTTTTGGTCACTGCTGACTTGGGCTGAATTCATCCCGGTGACCTAGACGCAAGAGGTCACATATCCTATTACTAAACCCTTGGGCCATCTTGTCACACATCTATAATTACATGAGACCTACAAGGGTGAAGTGGAGTTTGGGACACTTTAGTTTCATATGCATGTTTAGGGAAGTTCTGTTACTGCTCTAACTAGTGTGTTCTGGTGAGATAGACTGTCGGCTGATGTGCTGTTTCTTTCCTTTTTAGTTTGCAGTGTTGATGTGGGTATTCACTTATGTTGGTGCCTTGTTTAATGGTCTGACATTACTGATTCTGGGTAAGTGTTTTAAATTATGTTAAAATACCTGGTATACAAGATAACCCTGGAAAAGCACTGCCCAATACTGTGAGGCTATTCCTGTGTTCTTAAGAGTGTAGCAAGATGTTTTGTGCCCTTTTTCTAGGCCATTGATAACACTGCAGAACAGATTGTTTTGAATTGCATTGTTGAATTCCTTGAGATTGCTGATTTTCCAGACATTGTATCATTTAAAAGCATAATCTGTTCTGCTTGTCCCTGTCAGACTTAGCCTTACTTGAATATCATTGCTGTATTCTGACTTTGGAGGAGGTACAGAATTGGCTCTGCCCATCTCCCACTGCAGCTAGGTTTATTTCTTGTGTCCCAGAGCAGGCTGGGTTCAGGTGTAAGAACTGACTGACGTTGCCCGAAGCCTAGGCATCCTTTTTGAAGAATTTGTGTAACCCACAGTGAAAAAGTGAACTGTGACCAGACTTACTGCACTATTAACGAGACCTGGAGAATAGCCCAGCTGCTCCTTAATAAGGATTATTTAGGTTCCTGGCCAACAGTTTTTGTATGAGGCTTAGTTATTTCTTTTTCTTGTACCTTTTTTAAAGAAATGCCAAGGTGTGGAAACCAGTCTTTCTGTAACCTGAACACCATCCCTTTTATCAATATTTATACTTTTGTGCTCTTTTCCAGCTTTGATTTCACTCTTCAGTGTTCCTGTTATTTATGAGAGACATCAGGTGAGTGTTTAATACCATTCACTAAATACTTCCTAAAATTAGCTCTGTTGAAGCAAAACCACAAGCAAATAAAACCAACAATTAATTTCAATCTTCTAAAACCTTTAAAGACTTGGAAAGATAGGCCTTTAATCAGGAGTCAGTGCCAGGGCCAAGAAAATCAAGTTCACTTTGAAGTCCAGACTGCGTGTGTTTTCCCCTCCTTTTTGGTGGAAGTCTAAGAAGGCTTCCCAGGCAAACAGTTATGAAAAAGGCCTGATTAACCTGGAGGCCTTCTCTCCCCTGATCCAGATTTGGTCAGAACTAAAGCAGCAGTAGGCACAGTGCATTAATCCTGATGTAAGTACTTTTAAAACAGTTCTTGAAGAAACTTCTTTGGTGCTGATTTCACAAAATTGGAGCTGATTTCACAAATTCAGGATTTGTGTCCTGAAGCCCTGTGGAATTTGTAGCCCTGGCAAAAAAAAAAAAAACAAACCAGGAGGTGGGAGATGCTCGACACAGTCTGGTACTTCTCCTGTGGAAATGCTAATGTAAAAGAAGAGGTAAGAAGTAGACAAAATAAAACACGTATGATTAAATTATAGCAGAGCTTGAGCAGGGACTGTCTTCAGCAGGTCATAGCACAGGAGGGGGGGAGCCAGCTCTGGCTTAGCAGTTCCTTCTCCTCTTTCAAAAACAACGCTGCTCGTGGAGGCCAGCCTGGGACTTAAGAAGGGAGGAGGAAAGGCACTGAGCAGATGGTGGAACCTCCTGGGCTCCTCTCTGAGCCCCTAGCAGAGAACACAGTGCTCTGCAGTGGAAGGAAATCCTGTAGCCCTGAGATGATGGACAATTTGTGTGGCTTAACCCGGGCTCCTCAATCCTCTTGACGAGCTGAAGGCTGCTCTCTGAAGGCCTAAGCTGTTTAACAGGCCCAGCCCCCCCCTAAGCTGCTTTCTTTCCCCATGGTGCCGGAGGAGGCAGAGGAGCTGCCTGCCCCTCACCAAGGGCCCTGCTTGTGCACCCTCACGTTGGGTGGCCTTGAGAGGACGTGGGGGAACCGCTAGTGACGGGTTTGATGGAACATGCAGAAGCCAGGGATGAATTCATTTGGGTACTTACTTGCTATTCCCTGCCCTCACGTGTGTTCCTGGAGCCAAATGCTGGCCCGTGCTGTGGCTGAAGCTGTGGGAGCTCTGGCATCAAACTGGGGAATAACATGGTCGAGGCCCTTCCGTCCATCAGAGGTCACTGGCGTAAAGCACGTCCTGGTGCTGCGTGACTTCCGTCCATCAGCGGTCACTGGCGTAAAGCACGTCCTGGTGCTGCGTGATGCTGCCTTCCGGACAGCAAAGTCACTGTTGGTAAGGGTGGGTCTCTAACAGCTGTCCTCTTCAATTTCAGGCCCAAATTGACCATTATTTGGGACTTGTGAACAAGAATGTCAAAGATGCGATGGCTAAGTGAGTGCGTTTTTGTTGTTTCACTTTCTAAATAACGGTGACAGTTTTGGGTATTTGTGCTACTCCTGTATACAACAGGTGTGTTACGTGCACTACTCCTGGGAGGAAAAAGTACTTTGTTTAAATTTGGAATGGTTAGGAAATCAGCTCCTTCCTTACTGATGCTGGTGTTAAGGTATATTTATTTTTATTTATATATATACATATATATATA